GAAGTTCAGTGCCTGAGTGAAATTACTAGAAGAATTATTCAGCTCATTTTGAGGACTGTGTATAATAATAGTAATTTGTTCACTTTGCCACTCTTATGTAAAGTGACAGGATGTATTTAATAGAAGGAGAATCTTTATGCACCTCACAATTTTATCTATTTCAATTTAGTAAATCACAGTCTGATTCTAGTATGATTCTCGATGTATCACAAATGTGATATTTAAATACATTCACTCCTTTTAAACATAGGCTTTTTCATGATGCAGAACCTTGATTGGCTGTTGTAAGATGGTTTAGAACAGGGGTCTTCAATGTTTTTCAGGGTAAGGACCCCTTAGGCGATAGAGACATAGAGCATGGACCCCCTGATACAAACTGTGTCAAGTTGAGCTACATATTAAGAATATAGCCTTCGATATTAATAGAAACGAACTATATTATGATTAAGAATAAATTATATGTATATTATGTTAGGACAGTATTTCATGACTATGCACATTATTGTTGTTACACATGCATCACTGCCTGTATATTACTTTTTATTGTTAAAATTGAGATTTATGCATCATAACAAATAACATGTTGATAATAATCACAATTGATTAGTTGTTTGAAGTTGATGTAAATTATTTTAATGGATTTGCAGAGTCATACATTTTAATTTTACTAGTCAGTTACCTGAACTTTAGCTTCAAGTTTATTAAAAATTCTAATTTTAATTTTACTATCAGATGGATAAATATTTACTAACTTTTTATAAAATTTTTATTTTACTGTGAGATAGACAATTAAGAATCAAATCACTGAGTATATGAAATTAGTAATGGTTTTCTAATAAACATTAATTGGCACTACCTCCTGCACTACCACTGCAGACCCCCGGTTAAAGACCCTTGGTTTAGAACAAAACCTGTCCACTCAAAACTTACAGCATTGATGTTAATTGATGTTAAGGTGTTGTAGGTAGTCATCAGGTTGTTGGTATGTGGTTGCAAAGGTGTTTTCAGGTTTTTAAAGCTGTTTGCTATGCAGTATGTCCTTATTAGAGTGCTTGTTTAGTGAATTTTTGTGGGCGAAATGTAATAATTTCAATAGGAATCCATATGATTTTGTGTGAGGGCGAAAAATTTCCCCTTGCTGATTTTGCAACTGGATTTGCCACATCAATCAACAGGATTCTACTTGTTTGAAAGTGATCATATTTTGTACATCGATAAACTATTGACAATCAGCAATGTACCTTTTTGTCGCCAAATGTATTAATTTTTTTCTTAATTTGTGGTTTATTGTAGTGGTCGACCGATATATCGCCAAGGCCGATATATCAGCCGATATTTGGCATTTTTTAAATATTGGCATCAGCCGATAAGTTTTCCTGTTTGGCCGATGCGTTCTAGGCGGGACTTTTATTTTGACGGCGCTGAGAACGGCAGCACCTGAGTACACAGTGCTTACATTCTCCCTTTTGTTCGCTGTTGTCGTTCAGTTCTGTCTAATATGGATTATCTAATATGTCTGTCTAATAATCAGATAGAACGGTTAAACAAAG